CCAATACCCACTCTGAATGAATCCAACTTACCCACTTTAAATGAATCCAACCAATACCCACTCTGAATGAATTCAACTAAACCATGGCTTTAAACCATTAGCATTAAAATTATATCAAGATATGTTCTGTTTTTTTTCTGACAAAGATGAAAGTCAAAGTAAAGCCTTTTAATTAGCAAACTCAACTGTTTCAAAGACCGATGTCCCTCATAATGACATCAAGAACCCTTCCTGACCCTTTTACTTATATGATCGAGTTGACTGCTTCCTGCTTCTAAGAGACTGTTGGTAAAGATAGTACAGTTTATCCACAAAACCTGTGAAATGGTTCACCTCTTTACTACTAAATGTTCAATAACATCCAATCAGATTTAGAAAACACATTTTGCAAGTTGCTGAAACTTCTAACCTTCCTACCAAACATCAGTAATTAATTTAACTCTGATTAGCAATATTAAACTACAAACATTGTTAGCTAACTAGCTAGCTAGGTGTAAATATGTCCCTTTGAGTACACTTAGTAACAGCCAGTTAGCAAAACAGATGAATAAATATCATAATTATACAAGACTAAAAAAGGGACTATAGTCGAGTACTATAGCCTTACAGCCTATAGCCAGTTATGAGTCTGTTGACCAGGTCAGCCTATACTAATGTCATGTTCTGTTCATGCTGTAGTTAATAAAAAAAGAAACACTGTAATGAAATTTAATGTGATCATTCTATTAGCTAATTATCATCGTCAGGTTGGCTAAGTTTTGTTCCTACCTGGTCAGCATATGCATCATTACTACAGCATCCAATCTAAACATCTAAACAGACCCAACTACAGTCTGACCATACAAATCATTTGTAAATTCAAATCTGAATGGTCTGGCTAAAAGGTCTAAAGTATAACTGAGAAAATAGTAGATTTCTTTCCTTACAAATGTACTTAATAATGTTAAAGTGCGATTCGAAAATACTTCGTTATTACGCATCTCTGCATGCTACCAGAGGAAACTTACCCATCACATCTCCAGCAAACACCACCAGGACCCCAAAGATGACCAGCATACTTGTTTTACTTTTCTCTTAAGATCTTTCCACTCAGTCAGTCCTTCAGTCACTCACACTTGATGAGCTACCAGACTGAAATTATGAATAGAAGAACAGGAAGTATCATCACACTTCACACCCAGTTACCATTCAGTGTTAATAAAGGTGTTTCTGGGCCATTGCTATGGTATTCTGGGTGGTTGCTAAGGTGTTGCTATGCTGTTGCTATGGTGTTGCTATGATGTTGCTTTGGTGTTCTAAGTGGTTGCTAAGGTCATGCTAGGCCATTGCTATGGTATCCCAGTTGGTAACTAAGGTGTTTCTGGGCCATTGCTATGGGATCTGATGTGGTTGCTAAGGTGTTGCTTGGCCACTGCTGTGGTATCCCAGATGTTGCTGATGTGTGTGTATGTATATGTGCTATCATGTATGTGAGTCTGGATGCATCTCTATGACAGTCAATGTGAGAGGTGTCCTTTGTGACATCATTTGTGGCTGTTAGATTATAATTTTCTCCACATTCTGCCGTTCATTTCTTATGGGCAAAACATAATATTTGAAAGAATGTTCTATGTGAACTGCATTTGTGATCTGTCCCAAAAGACCAAGCCCCTTATTCCTTTATCGGTTCTATGATCCTACGACTATGAGTCTTTAAGATCTGAGGTTTAACTCTATAGATTAATGTGGGTTCACTAATTTGTTGCTTTGTTTTTATGTATCCTAAGTATGTAATGGCTTTCAAAGTGTTTGTGACTTAATAATAACCATCAATTTACTAATATTGAACCATTCATAAACTGTAAGGGTAGTCTTATTGTAAAGTGGTACTAGCAATCTTTTGTCAATCTCTGATCTTTCCACTGACTCTTATACTGAGGTGATAGACCACATGTGTATAATCTGCTCTAGTATTCATCTGAATTTCTGCTATATTTTACCAAAAAAACATACTTTACATGTTTTTTACTCATGCAAGTACATCAACAGTTTACTTAAAGTATGTGCAGAATACTAAAAGTACTAAGTTGTATAAGTTGTTCTAATTTATAACATAAAAAGCATTTATGGGCAGAGAACATGTATTTCACATTACTTAAAACATAATTTATGCACGTATGTATGTTGCTTAGTTATTCCTAAATAAACTCAATTACAACCTCAATTCCCAAAAGGTTGGGATGCTGTGTAACGTGCAAATAAACGTAAACAAAAACAGAGTGCATTAGTTTGCAAATTTTCCTAGATCCATTTCTTATTCACAATAGAACATTGAACACATATCAGATGTTAAAAGTGAGACATTTTACCATTACAATACATTTCAAGTGTAATAACAGTTATATCTACAAATTATGAACCTAAATCTACTTAAGTGCCACTTAAGTTGTTGGAAAAAGGACACTCAAAGAAAAAACAACATGAAGCATTTAACATATTTAATTATAGCTTAATTACCATTGTAATACACTTGCATTGTCATAAGGTGTTTCAAAATAATATATGTAGTGTTCATTAAAGTATGTTTCAGTACATGAATGTATATCAAATATATTAATACATAGTACATACATAGTAACTACACTGAAATGCATTTCTTTTCACAAGGGTTTTCCAGTGGAGGGCAGAAACTTCATTACAAATAGGCTGCTTATACAATCAAAAGTAAATTGAGGAGAAACAAAGACAGAGAGAGAGAAAGAAAGAGAGAGAGAGAGAGAGGGAGAGAGAGAGAGAGGGAGAGAGAGAGAGAGAGAGAGAGAGAGAGAGAGATGAAACAAAAGAGGAAGTGTTAAAGAATGAGAGAAATGCAGAAGTCAATTCACACAAGAGCTTTTACTGAGCAAAATAGAGCCAGACTTGGCCGTAGTGAATAATGACCCTAATGACTTATAAGAATGATAAATATAAACTGATTTAATGTCTTACATGCACGTTTAAGATCTACCCAGATTCTTAATAGTGTTGAAGTCAGGGGGCTGTGAGGGTCATTCCAAAAGCTTCAGCTTGCATTTCACAGTGTGTTTTGAATCTAGTAAGTTCATTAAGACCTAACGAGTTAATTCATTTCTGCTCCTTTACAACTAGAAAGGTGTCAAAACTTTTGCACATGCCACAATGACTTTTTTCTGTTTTTTTTTTAAGTTAATCAAATACAATCAAGTATTTGTAACATTAACATTTGCAGATTTTTTTTTTAATAGTTTTCCACAGAGGTGTTTACTTCTTTTCACTTCAACTACAGAGCATTCAAAAATATATTGAAACTACAAGATGCTGTTACAGATAAACAGAGGTAAACAGGTGGAGATGGGGAGGGAGGTATCACACATATGACAAGAATATTGAACATGCTTTTCCCTTTTTGTAAGCTCTCTTACACTATTTAATTTAAAAGCTTAACTGGCAAAAAAACTTTATTATTAAGTGGAACTGTAGCAGGAAAGCTACAGATAGCTGTAACAAGAGGCCAACACACACTGATGAACACAGATTAATAGAATTGTAATTGCAATCTTTATTACTCATGAATTTCATTAAATAATTAGTTCATTATTAAGATTTGTGCATTTTATAATATTGCTTTTTGTCAACATTTTATAAAAGCATATTATAAAACCACTTTAGGCAGCATGATACAGTGATTTTACTATGTTTAAAGTGGCTTTACTCCATTATGCATTGGCTAACATCACCCCTTAACTGTTTTAGAATCACAGTAACAGCCTTTCATGATTTATTGCTGTATTTCACTATAAACACTTAGTCTTAGGATTTCTCTATCTGATGCCTAAATTTATTTAAAAAAAAACATGAAAAAAGCCCACCTCTACAGTAATGTTAACTTATGCTAGTATCTCTATGGGATTCTAGATTAAGCACAGACATTTTAAGCTTCTAAAACACAGTCCATATTTTACTTGAAGCTTGTGACAGACATATTAGCATACAGTTTAACTTTTAGCCATTTCACAGTGACTCCTTCAGTAGCGAGCCCTGGTGTAGAGCTGAAGTTGTTGAAGTTTTCATTTCCAATGAGCCGCTGATTAGACTTGCACTCATACTTGCACTCAATGACATATCTGGGATTTTCAGAAGGCCTAGAGTTCCCAGAGTCATTAGATGCCCCACTTTTTGACAGATCCCATAATGTTTGATATCATGACAGCTTAACATAACAAGCCAATCATTGCTAAGCATACTGTAGTCAGGTGTCATGGCTTTAAACATTGTAACATATGACCATTACTGGTAATGGTAATGTGACTGTTCTATTATTCGACATGTGGACATATATATACAATCTTTTGCAGCAGGATTCCATAAAGTGTTACCAAACACTGTATATTCTTCTCACTTGAAACACTGTTCTTCTGCCGAGAGTCTAATGGTAGCTATTCTTCTCTTTTAAAAACGACTTCCTTCTTTTCTTGGCCTAGGTTGGTCTACAGAACCTCCTCCTCCTCCTTCCTGTTCCTTACCTAGGAGCATCAGAGTGAAGAGGGCAGTCTGGGTGACCACTGTATTTGTAACATTTTAATGCATCCTTTGGATCAACTCAACATTTAGATAGATACACCACTCCCCACCTAGCAGTGACATGATGAATGTAAAGACCCCAGCAACACCATTGTACACTCATTCTAGCACCGAACATACTATCATGTCAGTGTCACTAATGTGCTCAGAATGGTCCACCACCAAAATAATATCTGAACAATAGCAGCGCTGTGGTCAAAAACTGACCAGTGATGAACTGGGTAGAAAACCAGTGAAACTAGTGGAGCTATAAGGTAGGTTGAGCATTTAAAGTGGGGAGTGAATGAGAGTACAGTAAGGTATGGGTTTCCAATAAAGAGGCCAGTGAGTGTATATTCTCCAATATTGATGTTAATATTTTCTGGTTACATTTTTTTCAAATTTGTAATTAATATACAACTCAGTGAATGTATAAATCTTACTCGCAGCTGCTCTCTGTTTCTTGAAGATTCTGGTGTAGATGTAAAACGCTCCAACTAACAGTGACAGCAGGATGATGACCTCAAAGAGCCACACTGACACAAACACCGTGAAACCTGACAAAGACAAAAAAAAAGGAAGTGGACAGAACAGAGATGCTATGAAGGCATAGCACGTTAATAAATGCATTTCCTATGTATTTTAACAAGCTAAGTGCTAAAATATACTAATACCCCATAATGGATACACTATAGTACTGTAATGATAACAAGACACAGCTATCATGTATCATCCATCAAAACCTGCATACTGTAACATTTATTTCACTGACATGTACTGAAATCTAAAGCAGACACATATTGAGCTGGAAGATGTGTAATGACAGTCCCACTAGTATTCAATGTGTAGACTGTGCTCGTCTGGTCACCGCAGACACTGGTACTACTGTGGTGGACATTATGTGAGTCGTCATTTCTGTAAACAAAGAAAAGAAATAAAAAAAGAAAAGAGAAAGATAAAAATATGCAGAATTTACAGTAGTAAATTTACAGTCATGATGTTGAACTGTGATTTTATGATTTATTTTTTATTACAAACATTTTTTTTTACATATACATATTACAACAATATATAATAAAACAAGGTGCCCCAATACTTTTGTCCATATATATATATATAAACTGGTAAACTGGATTCTTTCTCTCTTAATACAAGCCAACATAATTGAAAATGTTGTACAACAAATAAAAACAGTTGGTCAGTTAGTGTCCGAGTGTGATTCCACTGAAAAACCAGTTGAACTGGAGGTTGTACCCATTAGAGGAACATCCCACCTTTGGGATGAACTAGAATAGAGATTGTGAGCCAGACCCTCTCGTCCAACATCAGTGTCTGACCTCACAAATGCTCTTCTAGATGAATAGGCGAAAATTCCACCAGACACTCTCCAAAATATTGTAGAAAGCTTCCTAGAAGATTGGAAGCTGTTATTGCTGCAAAGTGGGACCAGCTCCATATTAATGCCTATGGATTTAGAATGGAATGTCATAAAACCTCCTGTAGATGTAATGTAGGTGTCCCAATACTTTTGTCCATATGGTGTACTTCACACTGCACACTGCACACTGCACACTGCACACTCACAGATATTACCCAGTGCCTGTGTACAGATTTTTTGCACAATCTTTTGTGTTTTGTTTCTGTATATTGTTATCTTGCATATGGTATCATTAGAGAATTTTATTGTACAGAGAAACTTGTTTTGAACTGTGCATATAACAGTAAACACTTTGACTTTGAACTGTACAGTGTCTGTGTGTGACTCGTGTGACAACAGACATGATGGAACACTTGGAAAGTGTGACTGATCAGCAAAATCATCAGATCTCAAGTCTCAATTCTCAGTTTGAAACAGTAGGTAAAATGATGAAATATACTGTAGCATTGGAATAGAGTAAGACACAAGGGAGGCTCTGATTCCAAAATCAAAGAAGACTTTATTGAACACCAGGGCAGAAAGGTACATACAAAGCACTGAACTCATGGTAGTCCAACCCCCCAACACAAAACACTCACAACCCCTGAAATAGAATCGCACAATAACACATATACATACATTTAAACTAACAAACAGTGACATTAACAAGAAATCCCTCTTTATGAGCCTCTGCACATACCATGTCGCTACGATACACACATTAAGTCTGGTTGAAATGTACATGCAGTGTGTAAAGGAATACATAGTTCAAGGGATTAATGCTGTCAATAAGGCAGGGGGACACAAAAAACAACAGTCGAAAGCAACGCCAAGATATCAGTTTCTACACCTTCTGTATTAATACAGCATGCAGTGAGTGAAACACTTGAAGAGATGTCTTTTTCAAGCTATTGAAGGCCATAATTTCTTCAAGTGATGAAGTTGGATTGGACTCATCCTGCTAGTTTAAGCATGTAGCATTCAGATCTTTCCAGACAAAAACAATCACTAAAAGTGCTTGTCTATGATTAAATTCAATTCAGAAGACTAAATAACTTTCTTACTTAGACTGGTGAATTTTCACTGTCAATTCAGTCCACCAGTGTCCTTAATTATCTGAATGACCTCTATTGGCCTATTTCCTCTTTTCTCCCTAGTTGATGGTTCTCTTTTGCTGATGGTTCAGGTGGGAGAGTCTGATGGTTTATCTCCTCTAATGTTGCTCTCTGTCTTCTTGATCCAGGTTGGTGTGCAGACCCTCCTTCACTTCCTCTTCCTTACCTAGGAGCATCACAGTGGAAGAGGATACTTTAACTTCACAATGGAAACATAGCACCATTGTTAAGATTTGAGCTAATAACAAGTTTCAAGACTTTTTAACGGCTTTGACTGCATGAAATCTGATAAAATTGCTCTTAGTGGTTATAATTACCTATTCAATAATTTTTGACAATTTGACCACAACATTCTGAAAGTAATCCAGGTCGGGACTTTACAGTGGGCATAATATTAGCTGCTACAACATTGCTCTTTCATATTTAGCTAACATTTGATGGCCAAGGCAATTATTAACAAATGTACAATGTGAGATGATCTTGAAACTGAGCAACATTGACACCACCTTTGCCATTCGTATTTACATAATTTTAAATTATGTATAAAGACTCTTACATGACTAGGCCTGTCACAATTAGTACAGAATCACCTAATCATGGTTATGTCTGGTTGACTTCCCCAGCCTTGCCCAGACTGCATCCAGCAAGATGGCTGTGGTCTCAAAGACTCACTCCTGCCCCACACCCAAAGGACTAATCACTTTGCTTGGACACTGTTGCCATTGCTGAACCACCCTCAGCTTGCGTGGACATGCAAACTACGTGAAGATGACATCACAGAGCCAATGTGCATTCTACGTGATGTCTTCACCCCATCAACATCCACTCCAGGTGGTGAAACAAGCTGCCATTTCCACACTCTCCTGCTATTGTCTGTTTCCTCCTTCATGATGCATCATGTACCGTTGATAGTGTTAACTGACCTTCTTTTTTTACCTATTCGTGATGTTTCTTATCCTTTATCCCTTCCATATTGTATTATATACTTTCGTGACCTACTGATCTTATCCTCTCCTATAGTCAATTTCCCATTCTCTGCAGTCCCTCTCTACAATCCTTTTCTTTTTACATCCCACTTTCTTTATCTCTTCTTTAATGTAGCCCTTTTCATCTCTTATCCCTCCCTTCTTCTTCATCTCCTTTCTTCCTGCTCTTCTCTCTACATCCCTCTCTATCTCTCCTTTCACCCATTCCTTTTTCATCCCTCATCCCACACTCTTCACCTCTTGAATCAATTGTACCTCCTTATTCCAGCTTTCCTACTCCTCAGCTGCCGCCACCAACCCAGTCCTTACCTGCTCCATCACCCGTTTGCTGTTCCATTGCCAACGCATGGCCCTCAGTGCCTCCTTCTATTTCCTCTGGCCTGCACCTATATATGCTTCAAACTTTAATCTCTACTCTTGACCTGACTGCTCAGCTAGTCTCACCACTTCCTGCAGCATCAATGCTACTGTCTCTCCACGCTACTGCCCTACTGGCCAAAACCTGACTCCCCATGCATCTTCCAGATCTTCCAGAACAGTTCTGAAATTCATCCTGGAGTTCTTTGGTGGTCTGGCCTCATAGCTCCAGACAGAATCCACCCAGTTCTCCACCCCAAGTTCTCCCTCAATCAACCTTCCCTCATACTAGCACCATATGTTGAAGGCATGGTCCAAATTCATGATCGTGACAGCCCTATACTTGAGTCTTATTCTGGTTAAAGATACTTTCTGAATGTGCCTTTAATGTGTAGTAAACACAGATCTCTTACTTTCTGCTGCTCTGTTGGTCTGTTTTCTTTGGATTCTGGTGTAGATGTGAAAGCCTCCTAACAATGAGAGCAGAATAATAATCTCCAAAACCTGCACAGAGAAAAACACACTGTCTCCTAAGAGAGAGTGAGAGAGAAAGAGAGAGAGAGACATTAAACATCAAATATACCTTAAAGTATTACATTTGCTGTAAACACAGTAAACAAGAAATTGAAAAACTGGATTAAAGACAGAGAGAATGGAATTTTACTCAGTAACTGTAACAACATCAATGACGACAATGAAAATGAGATGAATATGAATTTAGTTCTACTATGTTCCATGCAGAAATATACAGAATAATTGAAATAAAGTGCTTAATGGATGTAATAAATAAATCATTGTAGACTTTTTTTAAAGGAAATTCAGTCCTGAAAATGTGCTGTATCTATAAACATATCTACTCGACTGCTGCAGAGAGGCTGCAATAGTCTCTAGAGAGGGCCTTACCAGTTTAAACTCTAGGAAATCCCCTTCTTGATGACATATCTCAAAGTTGAGAGGAAAACCTAGCTGAGCTGTTTTGGGGTGAACTTTTAGGAGTGGGATGTTTTGACAGGCATAGATTTAACAGGAGCAGGGGCGGGGGACGTGCTGTGAGGGGGATGAACTGCCCCTCCCAATGATCCACTCTAAACACATCCAGACTTTGCTATTTAACAATGTGTTGTGATTGATTTTGGTTGCTAAAGTTGACTTCTGTGTCTGTGTGTCATTTATGTATGTCTAACTATAATTCACAGGTGTCTGGTTTTGGAGCAGAGAGTCTAGTTTTGACCTTCATTATCCAGTTGGTGCTCTCAACTGGTACTTCTTGTTGAGTCTCACTCTAAAGGCATTTGATTTTGTTGAAGTGGATAAAGTGCAGTTCTAGCCCTGTCATTGCACTTCTGACTTTCAGCTGTCTAATGAATACACTGAAATGTGTTAGAGAGGTCAGAGCCCTGTTAGAAAAAACCAGCACAGACCAGCATGTCTGGTCACCAGCAAAATCAGCATATGTTGTGTTTTGGATGCTAGTATGGTGGTCAACCACCAGGACTATGCTGTAAATATGTGTTAGGTAGGAAGGCAGAAGTTTCAGTAGTCTGAAAAGCATGTTTCTAAATCTAATTTGATGGTATTACACACTTTGCAGTAACCATTTCACATGTTCTGTAGAAAAAACTGTACTATATTAATCTAAAAGGAGACAGTTGCACCAAGCATGCAGTTAAAAAGCACAGGAAGAATTCTTCATGTCATATTAAGGGAATCATTCTTTACAACAGTTGATGCTTGTTGACTTTCAACCTATATCTTGATCTAATTTTGATGCTGTTGGTGTATTCAGAGCAGGAAATGAATGCCAAACTTTGAATCCAAATTACATCTGTGTAAATAGAAATGGAAGTAGTTTGTATTTTTGTGTAAAGAAAATCCTTCATTTATTGGAAGGAAATAAAGACTATTTAAGACTTTCTCTCAAAGGGAACTAGATATATTAGGTTTCACTGTCATTACTCTTGGCTAAGCCCCAGACATGGTCTTGACTTGATCTTGACTTGTTATGGTCATGAACTTGATAAATGTGGTCTTGACTACAGCTCTACTTCTCTGTTCTTGGTTAAGTGACTCCGCATCTTAATGTTCTTGAACATTAATAATGTAACTGTAGCACGGCATGTGCCACCCCAGGCTCAAGGAGGACGCTGGAGGGAGGGTTCAGTGCTGCAGCAGCCATATTTACTTTAAGTCATCTAAATCCAAACGAACCATACAAACTCAAACAAACCAAATAATCAAAGCTCTGCTGGCCACTTTTCAGTGGCTTCCACTAGCTAGACTTTTCAGTCCTGTATCGCTTCAGCTTTTCAGCTCTTCACTTCTGTTGCTGCTGCTTGTCCCTCTCTTTCTCTCACTCTGTTCTCTCTCAGCTCTTTAAAAAGGCGCTCATGCTGCCAGGCAGATCAGAATCAGCTGGCTCTCATTAAGGGCAGCGTGAGCACCTGAGCCGAGAGGGAATGAAAGCTCGCCGCTCCGCCTCCCGGTCACCGCCCCCAGCTCACAGCTCGGCCGCCTGGGTCGAACGTGAGGTGTAATGAAGCCGCCTCGCTGCGGAACAGGGGGCGGGGCTCGGGCGGCGGAGCTCGGGACTCGCTCTATGTCCTCGTGCCTCTTGTTGCCGGCAGCGTCGTCGTCGTCCTCCTCCCACCTTCACTCGCGGCTCTCTCTCTTCAGTCCTGGCCGAGGTTCGTCGCCGCTGAGTGTTCGGGCCCCGCCCGTCATCGTCGGGGCCCAGGGGGTGGGCGCATGCCACAGTGACACATCTTTAACATTAATAATTAGTATAAAACACTTACAATAGGTTGAGAGAGATGCTATGAGCAGTGCCCCACAAAGTTGAAATGAAACCACCATGTCACTGTTTAAGTGATATTACTTCTTTACAAGAACCTTTTTTAGAGTAAGGAGCTTTTAGACTTTGATGTCAGAATATTTTTGAAGCTCTCCACTATGAAAGAGACATTTCAAGACCAATTATTTTAAGAACTTAACTGGACAGATTTCCTGCTTTATAAACTCAAAAGATACCAAAAACATTGCATTTCTAAAATAAGTGAAGTTGTCTTGAAATTCTAAACTCAAATTTATTGTCTTACATTTAAATCTAGTCTAGTCTGTTGATCTTAAAATGAAAACACAAAGATTTTCAGGCTCATTAAGATTTCATTGTTTGCAGTGTCACCACATGAGCATCAAATGTTTAACTCTATGGAGTTAATAAAGCAGTTTATTATTATATATGTGTTTTTTAACATTAGTGCCTCATTTTGAGGAGCATTTTCAGGAATGTATCTTATTTTGAGCAATATAGTGTTAATTTAAGACATTTTTACTTAAGAACAAAGTTTCTCTAGTATTGAGCTTGAAGCTCATTCAAACATTTTAGTTCAAGAAATTTTGTACTAAATAAGGTTTTAAGTTCTTTTGTGACACCGTTTTTTTTGCAGTGTTGTCTTTATCAAGCTATTCACTTACTCTGAAAACTGAGATGAACTTGAGGGTTGGAAGTACGATTATAAGTGGGTTTCTGAGCCTCTTTATCAGTCACTCTGAGACTTTTACCCTTGCCTGATTGCATTAATGGGCTCATTTTGGACTTTGGAGTGGTAGTGGGGGTCATAGTTGTAGGCTCTGTAATTACACACCAACAGAGCATCAATTGTGATAAAGAGAAAAGTGATTGTCACTTAGGTAGTGTCTTTTTGCGGGGTAAGTTACATTTTCTAAATATCCTGCAATGTCATTAAAATAAGATGACACAACAATACGCTTCTGCCTTATAGATACAAAACAATGGCAAGTCTATACAGCAAATATGCTGAAATCACATAAACTCACCACTCTAGCTACCCTTCATTATGAAGTATGCGTTCAGTCTACTTTTCAAATCAAACAGCTGAGACGTCAAGTAAAAACACAGCAAACTGTCAAGCATCCCAGCATCTTTGGTTAAAGCAGACTGAAACAGCAGGCCTGAAAAATGGTTTATGTGTCATTTATATCTTACCTTTGATGACTTCCTGTGCAGACACTACATTCACAGAATAAAGACAACAATGAAACTGCAACTTTTTAGCACATGCCAACAGTTCTTACATTTTTTTAGCTTTGGAAAAAAGTAGAAAATATGAGTAAAAATGGGTAGTTTCACTTTTTATAAGTGCTTGGCACATTTTTTGACCATAGCCAAAGTTTTCAATTCAAAATATATGCACAACACAATGCTGCACTGCTAAAGACCTGAAGCTTGCTATCAGTGTTTGCTAAGCAGTGACTGGAGACCTGAGAAAATAAGATGGGATTGGTATGTAGATACCAATCCCATCTTGTGTATAACTAAATATGTGTTTACTGAAGACTGACATCTTTATGCTGTTAGCTCTCTTTGTTTTGTGTGTAGGTGATGTTCAGAATGATTAGACTGGAAAAACAATTTTTATTTTGTAGTGATGAGCAGGCATTTACCCAGAATCTTCTCCTTGATTAAACTTTGATTACCTACATGAACTATGTTAGATTAGTTTATGAAGTAAGTCCATGTGGGTAGATCTTTAGGTCAAGCATTAGGCACCACATGGTGAAATGAAAAACCTAGGAAATATAACAGCATGAGAGATCAATTAATTTCACACATGACCTGCTTTGGGTTCTGACTTAGAAGCTGTGTCTAATAACACTTTCACAGTTGCATCACTGTTGTTGTTGCTGCTGTTTTAAATCTTAAAAACGACAGTACTTACCAGGACACTGTTGTAGTTCAACAGTTTTATGTCCACTGCTGACATGATTTTGAGCATAGCAGGTCACAGCTTCTCTGTCCAGCAGAAGAGTCTGGTTCCCATCAGCCAGTTGGTGTGTAT